AAGTGATGAAAGGGGGGCAAAAAATATTTTTTTCCCTTGCACTATTGAATAGGGTATCGTTCAACAGGCCTTTTAAAACTAAGGGGAGGTTTCTTTAAAACAAAGTCACTAAAATGATTCTCATTTTGTTGTTGTTTTTCATTTAAAAGGGGCGTTTTTGACCCATAATTTGTTCCAGCTGTAACTTCTAAAGTATAAAGGGTAAAAATTAAAAAAATATATGGAATAAGTATAGTTTACAATATAAAGTTACCGTGAAAACTATAACGGATATTGTATTTCAGAAAAATAAATGTTTTTCTATTTGCGGTTGGTAACCATACAGCTGCAAACAAACCAGCAACAAAATTAACTTTGTAACGCTGAAAAACCTGATACGATTACTACGAAACCCTATTCTTGGGCGTGTCTGACACGCTCTTGGCCGTTTTTTTGTTTTCGTGTTGTTGTGCGTGTGTACAGCATCACTCCTTATCTTTCCTGTGTGTGTCGTATCGAAAGTTGACTCTCAAACATTTGTCAGACGTAAGGGCGGCAGCAGCGTGCCCTGTAAATGTAGGTCACATCTTGCACTGCGCTCGCCAATCCGCCTGCCAAGCGTTGTGAGTATAGTAATGCCCTCGATAAGGTTAGGGCCATATTGTCCAGCAGTGGACTTTAACTTTGCTTAATGGACTTAACTTTAGTAGCGAAAAAGTCTCGGACGCCATGCATAAAAAAACCTTTGTAACCTTTTCTTTTTGTTTGCAGATGTACAAATCCGTTCTCTTCGTGGTGCTCATCGCCATGTTGGCAGCCTGCATGGCAAGCCCCATGCCTGCCCCCGCCCCTGCCCCTAAAGCAGACCCTGGCCTTCTTGACCTGTTCTACGACCCTTACTACTACCCTGCCTACTACCGGTCGTACCCGTACTACTGGTACTGATTTGTGTGCCAAATTGTGAGGTTATGTGAGAAATAAATGTGGTTTTGAAAGACTATTCTTTGTTTTAACTGTGTAAGTTAAGTACCAATGGTTTGTTTTAAGCTTGGATAAAACTGTAGAGACCTTTACCTAATCCAATGCAAACAAATTAACAAACTAACTCATGCCTTACGCAAAGTAATGACGTGACGGCAACCATGACGGGCACTAGGGCACAAAGAAGATAAGTTATTAGCGGGCGCCATATGCGCCCCGTTTCCCTAATTTGCCCTATAGGTACAGAAAAAGGGCTACAAGGAAACGTCACTACACTCACACAGACAACAGCACGACAGAGAGTGTTCTGAAGGCTAAATAATATTTTGCTTAAAAGAGGAAGTACAAGGCCAAGAAATAGAGACCGAGAAATGCATGTGCCTAAACTATTCCTTAACCTGAACAAACCGTCCATAGTATAGCCCGGTAAGCGATGTCAGCACACATGAGACGTGCGACAAGAAACGTACCTAAGATGACATCTGTCAGACAAGTGATCGTCGGCCATCATCGATGGCCGACGATCTCACGTGCGGTAGTCGGCGTCTCTTCTGTTTCATACATTTTATATGGAAGCGATTGTAGCCAGCGCAGACTTTATGAGGAGTAGAAGTGGTCACCATGGCCGAAATCACTCGGAGACATATTCATCATCATCATCATCATCATCATCTTGGAAACGGTTTCAGGCGTTGCAATTTCGCACGTCTCACGCACGACTCTGTATCATGTTTACGTCTGGCCTGTGGAATTTGCGCCTCATGTCTCATCTGTGGAGTTAGCGCCCTAGGTTCCCGAAGTAGCCTTCCATAAAAACTACCCTACATAAAAATATCATGAAACCAAACTGCTCCCTATTTGAAAGTCAAATCGTTTTGTGCATTTATTTGTAAGGCCCTAAACACATTAGGCCAACCGTTTTGCTGCCCTTCAGTTTTAAGACGTTACACATGAGAGTGCTTAGAATGGAGCATTCGGTTTGATCCTAATGGTTTTGTACGTGGTGTAAATAAAAGTAATATCTAAATACCTACTACAAAATACAGAGTTTACAGAAGGTTTACTCGAAACTATTTAGGATTTTTGCGATTGTCACTTGTTACATAGCCAAAGTAGCTACTGCAAAAAATCTCAAAATATCTAAACAGCATAATCTGATACAAGAACGTCATTATTATGCTGAGCCAATTTGAATCCAAGTAGGTACCTGAGTTCCCCTGAGATTCTAGTTTTTTCCAGTTAAAGTCAGCGTCAAAATCGTCGCTAGTACTGAGTGAGTCATCTGTAAGGCGTCCTGCGCGCCGTTTCTCTAATATTTTGTGGTAATAGCAACCCGCCCGCGCCGCTTTTATAGAGGGTGTTAGGAAAATAGTACATTCCGTCAAACCACGCATTCTATAGGCATTTCTACCTTTGTATTTTTTAAAGTCAACCCGCCGATATTAACGCTGCTGGCTACACTGGTTCAAATGGTTCGTGCTTTTCTAGATTACCTTATTACATTGTAGATAGTAACGAACTAATCTATCTAGTATAATAATTTTAATCATTTTTAGGGTTTCGTAGTCTACTAGAAACCCTTATAGTTTCGTCATGTCTGTCTGTCTGTCTGTCTGTCTGTCTGTCTGTCTGTCTGTCTGTCTGTCTGTATGCCGCGCCCTCATATCTTCGTCAGTTTTAGAGCTATCGACATGAAATTTGGTAAAAAGATAGATCGTGTTGACCCCAATATAGAAATGTTAAGAAAAAAAATTTTAAATGTTTTTTTGGACCCCCTCCCATACAAGTGAAAGGGGGGCAAAAAATTTTTTTTTCTTGTGTAATATTGAGTAGGGTATCGTTGAATAGGTCTTTTAAAACTAAGGTGAGGTTTCTTTGAAACAAAGTCACTAAAATGTTTCTGTCACGAGATATTTGCTTTTAAAAAGGACGTTTTTGACCCATAATTTGTTCCAACTGTAACTTCAAAAGTATAAAGGCTAAAAATTTGAAATAAATATGGAATATCGCTTACAATTTGAAGTTACAATGAAAACTATAACGGATATCGAACCCTTAAAGGTTTCAGAAAAAATTGAGTTTTTCTATTTGCGGTTGGTCATCATACTGCTGCTAACAAACCAGCAACAAAATTAAGTTTGTAATGCTGAAAAACCTGATATTTAAACGTTGACTACGAAACCCTATTTGTGGGCGTGTCTGACACGCCCTTGGCCGGTTTTCTTTCATAAACGGTGGACGGTTTGCTAGTTGTAATTTTTAATCTAATGGAAGTAAAACATGTTCTTCTCATTACTCGATTTAATCTTATTCAAATATCTTTAATTCACATGTCATGTTATTATAACACTTGAACGACAATTTTGTTTCGGATCCTTGATGGAAGATGCTGGATGTCGCTTTTATCAAATGTCTTGGTAAAACACTTTTGACTTGCACGTCATTTCTGTAAACAGTATCTATAGTCGAATTTCTAATTCTATTCACTAAATTGACGTTTGGTGGGTGGCCGCTTTTTTGGGAAAAATAAATAGTGATGTGCTAAAAAGATTAAATTGAATCACTCATCTAGTGACATAGTTCATAGTTATTAAATAACAAAGTGTATTTAGTTACAATATTAGTATAATAATTCTAAGGACGTGTTCTTCTCACAAAACTGAATAACATTTATTAGAAACTTTTCTTCAAAATAAGAAAATAAATAAATTGGGTCTCCCGTACAAAGTGACACAATTTTTCAACATTTTTATATTTGAAGTATAAAAATTTAGTAGAAAATCAATAAATAAATGAGTATGAGGTTTGAATGAATCGGCTCACCTGAACTTAAAAATCGATCTGAAGTACGTCACTAGTGATATGGAGATGGTATCATTATTTTGTCAGCATCTGTCATTTTAGTTAATACAATTAAAAATTCGACTATATGTAGGTATTATCCCACAGATACAATACAATTGTCTTGGTCCAGCAACTTGTTAAAAAATTACACTGTTTTCCAATATCTTGGTCAAACATATTTGACTTGTGTGTCATTTATGATTATGATAGCATTACTTATACGACAATCTTAGTTCAACCGCAAAGTAGGGAGTTTACAGAAGTTTCACTCGACTCTTTTTAGGATTTTCGTGATTGCACATAGCCAGGGTTGCTAATACTATCAAAAATCTCAATGTATAAGAACATTAAAACAGCAAAATATGATTCAAGAACATCGTACGTCATATTATTCTGGAGACAATTTTAATCCAAGAAATATGACGGTCGTGGCAACCATCTTCTTAGTTACCTTGTGTTTCTCCGAGATTCCAGTTATTTTCAGTTAAAGTCAGTAAGCGTTAAAATCGTTGCTAGTACCAAGTGAGCCACTCGCACCCGCACTCCGTTTTTCTACTTTTTGGTTCAGCTTCTCAATAACAGATGTAGCTCAAATTACCGCAGTAGACACCTTTACTTATAAATGCACTGCTCTTTTTCTCGAACTTCTCATCCAGTGGTCATGATGTCAACCATAGGTAGCTGCTAAAACTTAAAATGCACGGTGAAGAACTAACGCTACGCAAGCTTACCGTTTCATTTGTATAAAGATATTATTAAACACACGTAACATTTTGGGGTAGAGTGTTTTATGTTAAGTACTTTTATTTATTGTTTTTGAGTGGAGCTAAGTTTCATTTTGTTTGGGTTTGAAGCCTTAGAACCGTAAAACTAAAAATACAAATAAAACATAACATTTCTTCACAACATTTATTCTTACACGTATCTCACGCCATCACTTAGCCATCAATTTCGAACAGTATCAACTAGTACACATAGTACGGGTAAGAGTAACGGTAGTACGGGTACCAAGGCAGAGCCCGGGGGTAGTACAGTCGGGAAAACAGATGAGGTTTCGGCGCAGGCGTCGCCAGGCAGGTGGCGAGTACGGCCAGCAGCACGAATAGCAGGACTAGTTTGTACATCTGGAAATTCAAAAAGAAAAATTTTAAGAAAAAAATCAATCTTAATAAGGGTAGGATGGTGCAAGATTGCGATAAATCGACCGGGACTCGAACCCGGGCCGCATGAGCCAACTCCTCACCGCTCTGCCGCACTGAGCTATCAATGCACCGACCGATGCCTGCCATAATCTCTTTGATCAAGCATAATACCTGACTTTGAACTAGAAACAGACAAAAACCTTTGCATTCATTACATAATATACGCCTATATCCCTTGCGGGGTAGGCAGATCGTAAACCATTGTAAAACGGCCATATACACCACGTCTGACATAAGTTTGAGAGTCATTCAGAAGACTGTATTATCACCATAGTGACAGTCAGCCTGTCGCTTAAAATTGCAATACACATCTACTCCCAAATCCCTTAGTCGTTTACAACACCCACGAGAAACATATATGATGCTATTCTAAGCCAGCACCACACGGTATTATATCGCAATAACAATATACATTAAAATATAAGAAAAAAGACTCACCTTGTCAAAATTTGCGATGATTGTGTAGCAAAATCACTTGATAAAATAATAATTGAAACTATCATCAGCACCTTCTTATATAGTTATGATTCTTATAGAAAACAAGTATTAATTACAAACGCATTATGCTGACGACTGCCGCAATGAGTCTAATAGTTAAGTGGGAAAAAATAATGTGGTTTATTTATAATCACTAATTTCATTAGTAGGTACGTACCTATTAAGCTACTTAGGTATAATACCTAACCGGAAGCCCAAGTAACGGTAACTATACCTACAGAATGTCCCGGTTATCGTGGTTAAAAGAAAAAATCTAGATGTCCAGAGTCTAGATTTTACTAGGGTTAGTAAGCTAAGCTACCATAAAGCAGAAAAAAAAGAAAAAACAATATTTGAAAAAAAAAAGAGGACCTCCCATACTAATTTTGCTGCCTGATAGAGGATTTTGCATGGGAGGTTCAAATTTTTTTCTTCAAATATAGAACATTTTTTTCCAGATGATGAAATCCAGAGGATGAATGTCCAGAGTCTAGATTTTTACTTTGGACCACGATAACCGGAACACCTTGTATAGGAAGACGGTTGTCACTAATGTCATATTGCTTGGATCAAAATTGGAACAAACGTTCATGTGTCAGATTTTGCAGTTTCGATGTTCTTAAACTTTGAGATTTTTGATGGTAGCAACCTTGGCTATGTAACAAAACAAGTGACAATCGCGAAAATCTTAAATAGGCTCGAATAACCCTTCTATTTTCTGGTTGTGTTGTGTGTTGAATTGTCGATGGCATGAGCGTTACAGCTAACAGCTTATAGTATGGAAAATTACAGTGGAAATAGAATGACGGTTGAGTGTCGCTAGCTGAACAATGGCTAAAAATTTGCCAGTTTATAACATTATGATGTAATGTTTCCAATTCGTTATCCAATCTGCGCAAGTTATAGGGTTTTCAAGAAGTGAAATAAAAATACCAAATCCCAAACCGGTATCACAATTTTATATTTATTTACAATTCCAACAAATTGAAATTTTTATTTGGCTAACGGTTCAACATAATAGTATGCAGGATAATAGTAATAAGTATATTCAGGGGCTGGATAAATTATGTACTTGATTTGTTCAAGTTCAGCTTTAACGTGATCATCTTCTTGGATATTTGTGACTTCTGTTTGCTTCGGTTCAGAAGCCAATGGTTTAAGTTCCGGTTTCGATTCCAGTTCGACTGTGGCTGCATCCAAAGCAACCGGTTTTGCAGCTATCGATTCAAGTTCCGGAACTTCCGGTACCGGTTTTACAGCCGTCGGTCCAGGTTCCGGAAGTTCCGGTACCGGTTTAAAGTCAACTGCAACCGGACCTGTTGGTTTGTACACGTATTTGTATTGGGCATCATCGTTGATCGAGAACCAAACTTGGGGTGGTGTTGGAGAGGCGATGGTCACTCCGAAGTATGCAAGAATCACGATAGCGAATTTCATCTGAAAATAGTAGGTATTCCTTAGACACAAGAAAAATCGTCATCTTCCTGCCCTTATCCCAATTACTTGGGGTCGGCGCAACAAGTTTCGTTGAACACAAAATCGTGTTGCAAAAGGATTTGGCTGAATTTTACGACCGGCCGCCTACCAGACGTCAACCCTCCTTGGGAATGCTTTTGTGGTGGATTAACCGCCACCATACGGTTGGCCCTGGCTGTTTGGGTAGGGTTCATCCCTCGGCCGCCTTTTGCGACCCCAACGGGAAGAGAAGGGATGGTGCTATTCTAATTTGCCGGCACCACACGGCAATGCCGGCACCACACGGCAACACACAGACACAAGAAAAATGTGGTCCATAATTTCACTTACGTTAAATTAAGGTATGGAATGAAAGATAAATTAATATTTGCAAGACCAGTACAAAAATAAACTTTCAGCGGGGTACATAAAGGTGCAAGTTCGACATATGCGCAATTCAATTTCAAACTTACCTTTGTTTAATTATTTTTCAGAGATCTTCCTGCGAATCCTTAAATTTGTTTTGTGATATTTTTTCCAATGAAATATTCGTATTTATACTTAAGAAAGTTGGTCAGTGTTCCAAATTTTTAGCCCACAATGCTGACGTTATTAAATACATCATTACTATCGGACCGGATGTTGTGTCAAGGTAGGTAATCAGTAACATCCGGGTAGCCTGTGTATATTGGTCTTATTAATATGCAAGCATTCCAATCAGTTTACTTCTGCATACAATTTCAGTTCATGTTTATACATTTTCATACAACGGCCTAGTGTTTGGTCCGTTGCCTTTAGAAGTTTGCTCACAGTGTGCGTGGGATGATATGGGCACAAATTAGGTAAGCGGCGCGCGGGGCGCCTTGCCTTTACAGATGGCTCACTTAGTTTGACGCTAACTGACTTTAACCGGAATTTCAGAGAAGTTTAGCTGAGAAGACGGTTGATGTTTTCTTGGAATAAAATCGGCTCAGAATCATATGACGGTCTCGTATCAGATTTTGATATTTTCATCTAGCTAGGTATGTAACAAGTGACAATCGGGAAAATTCTAAAGAATCCTAAGAAACCTGAAGGACTTACTCTGGTGCTATTGAAGTGTGCCAGGAGTCTATGTGGGACGTTACAAGCGTTATCATAGTACATACGCTGCTTATCACATAGGTGGTACCATGAGGCCGCCGCGAAAACTGTGGCTTTCAATAACGGACACAAATATGCAGCACTCATGCCGAACCACGACTTCGTTCTTTTGCTGTTGAAACTGCCGAATGTTGGCGCTAGGAGGCGAAGTGTTTTGTGACAGAGCTGGGAAGTAGCATTCGGGAAACAGGGGGTTCTTTCTTGATGCAAAGGTTGGCCATGGCTATTCAACACCGTAATGCAGCGAGTGTTATGGGGACCTTTTGCACCCGGATCGCTAAAAGGTGGCCTGTTTGATAAGGTTATGTTTAGATATAAAGTTTTAAACTTTGTTAGATTGACTGTTGTATTTAATAAAATAAAATAATTTAAGTCTTCGTAAAATGAAAAATATTTGAGAGGTCTAGCCTTAATTACTTGTTTTGAATATTACGTAAGAGATATCAAATTTTCCCACCAGGATAAAACAAAATAAATTAATATCAAATACACAAACCCATTAGTAAGTCCAATGGTTAAACGGATAGATAATTAAGAGGATTAACAAGGTATTATAAAGCCGAGAGATAAGTTGCTTTCAGCCTGTTTCATTTTGCGATCCACAGAAATAACACTTATTTTAAAGTAAGTAATTTTGAACCTTATTTTATCGTGATTTTGCCAGTGCCTCTCTTTTAGATTTGCCCCTCGATAACGGACTATCGATAAATTACCGAATAACTCTTGATAGTAAAATCCCTTAACCATTTTATAACTTAATTTTCGGACAGATTGACATTAATTTTGGTGTGCAATAGATTGTATTGACCAAAATTTAGAAATTGTAGTTAAAATTAAAATAAATGTGATTTGGACCTCTTTCTACAGTGTAAAGGGGTGGGAGGGTTCGGGGATTAGCCCTAACGGCTGGGTGAATCTTCACATGTGAGGTGTCGTTAGATTCTTCTTAGCAGCCTGACACTGGCTATACAGGGTAAAATTTCATTAGTGACCGATAGCAAAAACGGGCTGGTGATAAGGAACAATTTTCCCCAAGAAACATAGGTCGGAATATGAATAAAATGTTTTGACCTTCTATACTATCTGAAATCAGCTGATCGGCAATTTTGTATGGGAGGTTCAATTTTTTTTGCATATTTCGATCTATGTTTCTTGGGGAAAGATGTTCCTTATCAACAGCCGGTTTTGAGTTTTCGCTATCGGTCACTAGTAAAATCCTAGGTATTTTAAAATTCATAAATCCAAGATGACGGATCTTTATTTACAATAATATGCATTAAGCAACTTTGAAATTACCGCAGTCGGGTTTATGTTTTTTTAACAAATTTGCTTGTTCACATTGCATTTCTCTCCTCTTTTCCAGATGCGTCTCCGGATAATTCTGCTAGCCGTGATGATCGCGGCCACCGCTGGCGAGGAGACCAGACCTGACATGGAGTGGTCAGCTTCATACGGCCGGTACCCAGCTGGGAGTGCCATCGTCCCTCTCACTTACATGGCTCCGTACTATATCGCTCCCCAGCCTATCGCCACGCCGATTGCTGCGTACGCTATCAAGTATTACAAACCTATTGACAATTGATGTTAAATAAATACTGGTTTCCTATGAAAGTTGTTTTAGTTTCGTTTACCTATAAGTAAAGTGTTTCATTATGCCGGTACCCAGCTGAGAGTGCCATCGTGCCTCTTACGTTACTCTTACGTTGCGCTATGTAGTATGGAGCCATGTACGGTACATGGCTCCATACTACATAGCGCCTCAACCAATAGCGACGCCTATTGCTGCGTATGCTATTAAGTATTACAAACCTATTGACAATTGATCAAATAAATTATGATGTACTGGTACCCAAGTTGTTTCAAATTCGTTTAACTTTGTCTACCCACTTGACCAAAACTGTGTCCCAATGGCAATGTGTCCCGATGGTACCAAACCGATTAACTGGTTGTTCTATAGGTCTCTTTTAGAGGTTCAAGTAGAGTGTTTCATAGG